AAAACACGGAAGAGATCTGTTTTCGCGATCGCATGCTGTCTGACGGTGCATTTCCACTGGCACGTAGCGACTAGCGAGCGCAGCAGTGAGAGCGTTTTCAATTGATTCCTATGGAAGTTGAGCGTAAATGCTCGCACGGTGCATTATGGGATTAAAAGTGGTGCAGAGAAAGCATTGAGAGTGGCTGAGAGCGTCAAAAATGTTGGGCATTCCTCGACTTTATGCAAATATCGAGCGAAAAACGCCGGACGACAACCAATCGCCGTTAAAAGAAGAAGAAGAAAAGCAAACAGGGTGTAATCATCATTTGCCCTAAATTTGACATGCCCCAAAGCAGTGTAGTTGTAGCGTTGCCAGCGGCTCTGAGCACAGATTTGACACTGTAGTGGAAACGCACCGTGAGAGAGGGGCTTTCAGTGCGTGCGCTTCGGCTGTGTCAGCGCGAGCAGGGAATTGAGTTCTTTTTCACTGCTTAATAACTTAATTAAACATCGTGCACGTCCCAAATTTGCGATCACATGCTGTCTGAGAGAGGCAATTTCTGAGTGTGCGCTGTGTGTGTGTCAGTCAGTGCAAGCACTGCATTGAGTTCTTTATCAAGTGCGTTCCACTCTTTATTTTCTCATTTATGCATCTTTCCTTATCACTCAAAGGTGTATATAACTTTAAAGTATATCTTTAAAGTGCTTCAGTGCTCCACTGAAGCCATCATAATTACAGTTCAAGGAGTTATTTGTCATTTCCACAAACTAACAGTTGTAAACTTTGCCTTAAATGTGACCAGTGGACAAGCATGTTACTCATGCAAACACATGTATGATTAATTGCAAACACTTATCCACTATGCGCATCCATCCATCCATCCAAAAGAACAAGCATGTCTGGCTAAAAAAGGACCTGGCAGCAAGTCAAGATTAAGTACAAGAACATTTTGCAGGCTAGTAAGTGACTTGATGGGTGACTTTTTTTTTACAAATTAGGTGAATAGTGTCTGCTGACATATTTTATTGTCTGTATAGAGGGGCTTTCAGTGCGTGCGCTTCGGCTGTGTCAGCGCGAGCAGGAAATTGAGTTCTTTTTCACTTCTTATTGCACTTAATAACTTAATTAAACATCGTGCACGTCCCAAATTTGCGATCACATGCTGTCTGAGAGAGGCAATTTCTGAGTGTGCGCTCTGTGTGTGTCAGTCAGCGCAAGCACCGCATTGAGTTCTTTATCAAGTGCGTTCCACTCTTTATTTTCTCATTTATGCATCTTTCCTTATCACTCAAAGGTGTATATAACTTTAAAGTATATCTTTAAAGTGCTTCAGTGCTCCACTGAAGCCATCATAATTACAGTTCAAGGAGTTATTTGTCATTTCCACAAACTAACAGTTGTAAACTTTGCCTTAAATGTGACCAGTGGACAAGCATGTTACTCATGCAAACACATGTATGATTAATTGCAAACACTTATCCACTATGCGCATCCATCCATCCATCCAAAAGAACAAGCATGTCTGGCTAAAAAAGGACCTGGCAGCAAGTCAAGATTAAGTACAAGAACATTTTGCAGGCTGGTAAGTGACTTGATGGGTGAATTTTTTTTTACAAATTAGGTGAATAGTGTCTGCTGACATATTTTATTGTCTGTATTGATTTTAGCATAAAAAAAGGCTCATGTATCTGGCACGGGGGGTGGCCCTCCAACCCAAGACTTCACCACAGCAGAGGAGCTGGCCCTGGAGTTGAATAAAGGGAAGCCAGTGATGGAAGGGATCCAGGGAGGGACAGCCACTGACTCTGGCCCAGCAAGAGAAACTGGCCTCTTCATACAAGGTACATTATTGCCATTCTACTGCACATGGAAAACAATCAAATATTTAGATTTTTTTTATGTGGACTGTCTGACTTTGCCTTCCCTTGCAGTGTCTGGTAACACACTTACACTTCTGGAGCCACCAGACTATGATCCGCCGGTGAGTACTCTTTATTAAAATCATAGGCTTGGCACATCCTGTCAAAACTATCAATACAAGTTCTATTGAATATGGCAGAGGGAAGGCACATCTGCAGCAGTGGAGTGCACTTCTGCCGATGATGAGACGGTGTCGCTGGACTCCAGAAGGCTTGAGGTGTCATGTCAATTTTGTGTAAATTTTTAGTCCATAATGGATAAGTAGTCAGCAATGTGATTCTAATAGAACATACATTTTTAACAGGATCCAGACACTATGCAGCCTGATAAGCAGCCTGGTAACATAGGGAGTATTGCCTAAAGTAAACCTACATCATGCACAAATCCCGCAAAATTAAATGCAAGACACTGAGGAAACTGGACTTAGAAATCCAGAAACTAGAGAGTGAAGTAAGTGATTTCAGTTCACACTGCAACCATGACTGCACAATGTATTAATCATCGTTATTTTGGGGGTCAACAGGAATGTCTCACAGGCATAGCTTTTGTCTCCTAGCAGCACACCAGAGAACTCACCTGAGAATACAAAATATAATTCTTACAACTAGCAGAGTAAAACTTCTGACACACACATGATGTCCAGGGTGCTTAAAAAAATTGGGGTGGCTTACCTAGTGAGAGTCTCTGGTAAATTCTACTGGCCCGAAAGACTCTGGAGTCATGGACCGAGCCAGGCCACTTTGCCTCTAAATTTGTGATAAGGCAGTCAGCATCAGATCATCTGTGACAATAACATGTGACCTATTAAGGTCATTTAATGCACAGAAATAATTTATGTAGCTGACAGTAACCATAAATCATTCTTACCTGAACGTTGATACTGTGGAAAGATTTCCTGTTAACATAATCTCCCTCATGTGCCTCTGAGGGGCGTTTGATACGGATATGCAATCCACTGCACCAATGACATTAGGGAAAGCTGTAAAAAATGAGTTTCCTACTGTGACTGTGCTAATGTAACACTTTCTTGGATGCAACATATTTACAGAAGACCATGGAGTGACTGTAAAGCACATTAATTTCTAGTAGGATTAACAGCGGAACTAACAGATAAATCACTAGGATTAATTTTAGCCTGGTTGTTAGCCTGCTCTGGAGCAGGCTAGCTGCAAAGAATAAATCTCCATAGTAACATAATTTAGCTTAATTTAGCCTGCTTTCATGCAACTGAGTCAGGGCTAAATTCAACCAGGATAACTGGAAAATCCCAGCTTAATCCCTTATC